TTGAGGTCAGAACGGTTACAGCATTCAATATACACAAAGATGCAAAGAGTATATTTCATCTATATTGGCTGGTTTTAACTCACCCACAAAGATGCAAAGAGTATATTTCATCTATATTGGCTGCTTTAATCTCAGCTCGCATTCAGACATTCATGTTTCTCCCGAGTCATGTCCCATTGCCCCAGTGCCGTTACCCTGAGCGACAGGAAGGCAGCAGACAACACAACTCCTTACACCAGGGTGTATGCCACTATCTGATTTTTACATAGAAGTTTTTACTGTGCAGTAGTGAGACACATTTTTACAAATGGTATTGGTTTTGGAGGGGTAGCTTTTAACTTACCTCAAATTGCAGATAAAAAAACCATACAGAAATACATACTCTTGTTTTAATTTTCTGGAAAAATGCCCACATAAATGCTTTTACATAGAATAGAGCCCTAAATGCTATGCTTTTAATGTTCATTAGAACTCCAAATCTGCTATGCAGCCTCACCACTGTCATTCTTGAACAGTAACACAGGAAGAGCGAAGGAACCAAACATCTCAAAACCACATCAGAAGGACACAGTGAACCTGGGTTTCTCCGGCCAGCTTGGCCGTAACGCTTGCCTTCCACAGCAGTAACTAGAATTGTTGCTACCCCACAAGAACATCACAACAAAAAAATATGTCCTGGACACGGGCTGTTTTAAATATGTTCTCTCAATTGCAATAGTATCAGATGGCAGTAATTTTGGACCAGATTTTGATCCCCTTATTCATGCTGGCACGCAGTTGCCTCCACAAATAGATCCACTGACTCCCATGTTAGTAGCTGATTGTCAGCGTGAGTAAAAAGATCACAGTCCCTCTTTAATATTTGGGCTGTACTAGAGGCAAAAAAATGTATTTCATTTCCAACAAATCTATTATTTTTCAAAGACTCATTAAAATCATTCACCTCCCGAAAGGCAACCACATGCATCTGTACACAGAGAACTCCTCATTCACCAGCACAGTGTCCAGACCGTAACTAAAATAATGAATACCAAGAGAAAAACCTGCCACACAGCCCGAGCGCTGACCTTAACATTCAGCTACTCCCTGCTAGGGCAGGGACCACAGCCAGCTTTCAAACGCCGTTCTATGGGTAGCCGGAGAGTAAAAGTAGAAGGAGACTTTGGTGTTCAGTTCAAGACTCAGAGTTACGCCAGCCACGATCCAAACACACGCGTCACTGAGATTTATATGTGGAAATGTTGTAAATCTGCTGCCACCAATTCACCGATTTACGAGCTGATTTTGTACCACAGCAAGTAAACAACACTGAGCCCTGAATACCTTGCCACTGGAATATTCCGTTTATGTGGTATTCTGAGAAAGCCAAAACAACTTAGTATTTAACAGCAGAGGAATATCATGGGGGGGCAGTCGGTGACTCTTGACTTGAGCAAACTCTGGGATGGGCTGTCTTAGCTAATATATTGTTAGTTAATTGATATTTGATAAAAAAATCCTGAGGTTCAGGGTTTGCATCTTTTTGAGAAAGGAATCAGCCAAAGAACAGCAGTGAAAAAAGAAAGAGCTTAAGAAACAGGTAGCAGCAGGATGCAATTACAAACTGTGGCTGAGGAAGCTAACGCCTCTTCTTGTTGAGAGTGCCTGCAGTCCTCAAGAATAGCTGAGAAACTAAGGGATGGAAATAAGAAATCAGCTTTGTCAACCTCAGGGATAAAAAAAATCACGAATTGAGCTCTTGAACAGTACGAAATTGGCTGAAAAAATACCATCGCTATGGAAGTACTTTTATTTGCTTTGGGTTTTGAGTCTTTAGGAAGCCATCACTTCACATTTTCAAGCTTTCCTCTACCACCTGGAGGTTAGAAATTTCATTAAAAATATAGGTGAAGATACTCCTGCAATCATTTGACTTCAGCCGTTAACCCTTCGAGAAGATTCCCATAAAGCTGAGGGTAAGAGGGTGATTAAACAGCGAGGTTCTCTCCGATCTGAAGAGGGGAGACAGGTCTTCAGCCTGCAGTCCAGGCACTATAAAACACAACCACGACCTCACTATTAGCAGTATTATTAAGAGAAAAGCCGCTTGTGTCCTTTGGAAAACTCTTGCATGGTCAGAGCCCTGGGAGGTGCAGAGCTCAGGGGCCGAGGGCCCTCCAGGACGCAGCCGTGGGTGGGGTGGCTGTGCCTGCAGCCTTCTGCCCACCTGCGTTCCCAGCCCTTCCCAGCCTCTGGCAGCCCCACCCGCCAGCAGCCGGGCCGGGGGCAAAGCCCGGGGAAGGGCACACGCCTACCCCCGAGATCAGCGCCCTCAACTCTTCTTTTTCTCGTCTCTTTGCCTTCAGGGTACCTTTCTACAAGTTATTTTGAAGCAAACTCCTTTGTGGCGAGTCTCAGGCAGCCCCCAGCACCCTGCCTGGGGGGAGGGAGCGGGTTGCCCCCAGAGCTCATTTTGGTGTGCTCCTGGCGCCACCTCACGGCCAGACGAACGTCCTGAGCCCGGCGGCCCCGCAGCACGGCGGGGCGGGGGCTGTGCGGCTCCGTGCTGCACGCTGGGCAGGAGGAAGCCCATCTTCTCCAGGCTGCCTGTGCTTGCTCCAGCGCTCTTCTTACAAGCTAAATGATTTTAAAGAGATCATAATCTCATCTGTGATGGTGTCTTTTAGCAGACCTAGACAGTCCTCTGAATTCATGCATGTGAACAAGAGGACTACCTCCTGACTCTGCAGGCATGTGTTGGTCTTTTCAGACCTTCCTTTCTATGGAAGTCCAAGTGTGTGGGCTGGAGGACCACAACGCTCTCCAGCAGACTTCCAGTCTGGATGTGCAGTGGAAGGTGGCTGCAGGACAGCCAGCCCTGTACCCAGAAAGGCAATCTAGACATATGCTGTGTGACTGGCTATAGCTGACTGCTCTTTGTCCAAGTGCCTTGTGTCTGTTGAAGGCATACTTTCTAAAAAGACACCTAGTCTGGCTTTGAGGACCCCAGGAAATGCAGTGTCCCCTCCTGGTCCTACAAGAGAATTGCACCACTCAAAAGAACTGAAGAGGATTTAGGTGTGAGATGCTGATTCTGCAGCAGAAACGCCCAAGGTGAATTATCTAGATCAGGATGTGAATTTCTCCAAACTGATTGGTTTATCTCAAGCTGCCCTTAAAAACTTCTCTCCATCTCTCTTTAGGACATGTTACAAAATTCCACCTTTCACATAAAGTCAAAGGCATCCAAGATTAGTTAAAGGCTGGTCATTCAAGTGTGAGGTCAAGCCCAAGTACTTTTTCTGCAGAAATCAGAGCAGAGATGACTCCTTACAGGGGTATGACAAAGTATTTCTGTGGAGCTGGTGCCAGCAGGAAGGACACAGACTGTTGATGATATTTCAGCACAGAGGCTAAAGCACCTGCAATCCTGAAAATGCTGAAGGTCACCATGATGTTCTAGCACGCTGGACTCTACCTCCCAGCAGTTACAGGCATGTCACATACAGAAGGAAGAGCTATATGAATGTTACCAGACACAAAGACAACATCCTATGTGACTTCTTAGCCACTTTGTCTGCACTGACCTACCTCAGTAAGTATTTGGTCCTTACTTGGAAAACATGCCTGAGGTTCACAGGCAAACCCCCTGTCACTGCTACAAACATGGGAAATAAAGCAGGCCTTCCTGAACCTCTTGCCACCTCAGATGGACCTTATGGCCAGTTTTCTCACTCAAACACCTATGTGAGACATGAAAGTGTCACAGGGTTCACTAGCCAGAATGTGGGCAACACATGCACCGTCCACTCGCCACACTATCAGCCCCAAACTCTCAGGTGGTGTGGGTGAGGTGCTGGGAAGGCACAGCCAGGCATGCTGTCTCCCTGCACCAGTCTCCAGCTCAAACCAGCAGCTTGTTCAGAGTGAACAGGGGAGGCTCAGGGCACATTGCTGTCCTGACCTCAAAAGCCACATATCAAAGTCTTTATAAGACATACACTGTGCTGCAGAGAGGCAAGGGGAAAGGAAGCTCTGGGAGGAGTTTTTAAGCAGGAGACGACATCAGTTCCCCAGCGGTCGTGTTTTGTGAGAAAGGGTTGAGGCTGAGCACACAGCTGGGTGCTAGGGCACCCCAGGAATGTCAGATGAGAGCCTGTGCTGGCTGGCTTCCTCTCACACCTGGGGGTTCATATCACTCAGCAGCTTCTGTGACAGCCCAGCCTGGCTGCTGGCCACGTGGCAGCGCCTTGGCATGGGAACCACGCAAGAACTGGTTCTGAACTGGAGCTGGAAGTCCTGCAGCAGGGAGGCTTGTGCTGCTCCAAAGGCTCAGGACTAGAAGTGGCTGTTAAAGGTGGCTGACAATTGGCCAACTCGCTGGGCAATTCCCCTGCTCAGCAGCCTTCCTTTCTGTTCTGGTCACAACAAAATAACATTGATATGAACACACAACTGACACAAACATACAAGGGGATCATATGAAGCTGCTCTGGAGCAGACTGTATATCCCCTCTTTGGGAGGTCGTATCCCAAGGCAGGATCTGCCCTGAAAGCTGCAGTATACAGAGGCTGCAATGTGCACCTGAACCCTCACGAACTCCAAAGAAGCCAGTGGGATTGCACAGACTTTAAACAAGTGTGAAAGGATAAGCAGGCTCCTACTGTTTAGTGAGCCAAAATGCATTATGCAAACAGCCTGATTCTGCTCTCACATCAGTTTTGCATCATTCCAGCTCATGGTTTTCAGTAGTTCCTCTCAGCTGACATCTATGCAAGCGTTGGAACAAAAATAATGCTTATAGTATCTTTTCTCATTCAGTCATTTCTCTAGAACAAAACTTGTACTGGTGCAAGAACCAGTCCCTGTTTCTGTTCCAGACATGTTCTGAGCACTGAAATGCAACATAAGAAGATTGCATGTGTTATGTGCAGGTCATTGCCATGCAATGTCTTTCACCCCTTGTTCCAAAGCCCCCGCTAGCAACCTGCACGGGAAGTGAATGATATTAGCAGATTACCCCTTCACTGGTTTTCTGCAAATCTGAAGAAGTATTTCTTGTGTCGTTGCCTGCATCCCCAGCATCAGAGCTGCTCTTATTTTCTTCCTCTTTGCAGTCCTTATCATCTTCATCTCCAGGAGATTTCCGTGACTGCTTGGAGGATTTCTAAAACGATCAACAACCAAGTTAAAAAGTAAAAACAAAGCTTCAGTAATAGAAATACACTTTTGAAATGCATGTGGAATGCTATCTGATCATGCAATTCCCTGTTCAGGGTGAACATTGAGGAGGATACGTGGGGTGAAAAGCGTTTTTCGGGTGAAGTAGTTGGAGTGAATGAAACAAAAGGAGAAATTTTGTGTTCAACACAGGTTGGTAGCACAACTGACTGTGACACAGGCACAGTAATAGGAGATGGGTATTAATGTTGGGTCACCTGTAGGCTTTGTTAGTTAATGAAACAGATGGTGCCAGCTTGACAAAAGTTTTGATTAAACACAGAGATGTAAAATGAGAATAACATTAGCAGAGCTGCTTTCCATACTTTTTTTTAGTGCTGTCAGCTTTAATATATTAACATTAAACCCATGTGGAACCAATACATCTTTTCTGCTCTCTTTATGTTATGCAATTCTACAGTACAAAAGGATAAATTGTGGCATTAAGCCACCATCTTCCTAATCCTGTGTTTACCCAGAGTCTTCTGGAAAGAAGGTGGTAGAACAGACCTGAATTTCTAATGTAAAACACACAAAGTGGGTGAGATTACTTAATACATTTTGTTTGGTGGATGAACCATGAAAATTTTCACTCGTCCCCAGATTGAGCCTGGATCAGACTGTCTACTTGCTTCTTCTAATTTCATTTAGTTTTCACTTTCAGAGAATAACACGAATGTGAATGAACGTGTCTCTGCCACAATTTCTACAGTTTTTAAAGCAAGGTACAGATCTGGAGGCACACACAAGGACCGGAGGAATTGGCTATAATGCTGCTCCCTTTCACCCAGGTGGCACGTGAGACGTATATGTGAGCCCAAAGTTGTCACTATGCAGGTGATTATTTTCACCAGCCATTATGAGGGAGTCTGAGACACATTATTCTCAGTTTCTTCCCCTATGCTGTTACCTAGATATTAACAGGGCAGGTAGGTACTACACTGCAGGTCTTTTATCTACAAAACAGAGTGCCCAACTCTTTGCTTCATGAATTAGTTCTACCTCCCTCCCATTCTGTATGCTGTACTGAGATTTTACACTCAGCTACACCAGGAGCAGCTGAGCACATCTGACGCTACCATATCTTCTAGCATGGCATCTGGGGCACTCATACTGGAGATGGAAGAGGGAACTTGAATTCTACTGGACAGGAACCAAACCTGAACTCACACCTCACAGGAGAGACACTTTTTTTATTTTTTTCATGGGGAAATACCTATCAAAGATGATCAAACTTAATCCATCTTTGCATGGATTTTCTTTGCAGCCCTTCTGAACCCCTTCACATCCTTCAACTCCTTCTCAAAGTGTGGGCAGTAGAACAGGGCAGATTACTTCAACTGCCGTCTCACCCAGGCTGCCTACAAAAGCAAGAGCAATTCCCTGTGCCAGTCTGAACGCCAGCATTATGGTACTGGAATCAAAACACTGAAGAAGGAAGAAGAGATTCCCATGAGGTGGGCAGTATTCGAATTATAAATACACATGGCTAACAATGGAAAAGCTCAGAAGACAACCTTTGAAGTGTAGGATTTTTTCCGTTTTGAGCCTGCTTTTTCATTCTTTCTTTTTCCTTTTCCATCCTCTTCTACCCGATCACCTTCTTCCTCACTGCTGGCATCTGCTGTATTTCCTCCTTCTCCTTCAGTTTCTGATGAGCTCTGTTGCTGAATTGCCTTTAAAATAACAAGAAGAATAAAAACAATAACATAAACAACAAAAATATCACTAAAATCAAATACTTGATTTTTGTTCTGTGTCGAAGACAGAAATACAGGTAACACAAAGCTTACACTTTCATCACTGTAGCTGGGAAGATCTCAGGTTATTCTTGAAATTATCACGAAAAAGGGCTGCAAAGGCAATTTCCTCAGTCACCACTTGAAAACAGTTATCAGATGCAGATTCTGGGATAGCAAGTTTTGAAGAGTTTACACAGAAGCAGAAGATTTGATAACAAGGATGGAGAACTGGAGCTGGAGGACTAAGCGTTGCTTGGTGGAGAGACGTGACATGTTCTACTTTGGGCAAAACTATGGAAACTTTTAGACTTGGGCTGCAATAGGAGATACTTATTCAGAAAAGAAAATGGGTATTACACCCCCCTGCCAAGGTCAAGATGTGTCCACTGTGTTAGGAAAAAGCAAACACTGACCAGAAGCCTGAGAGCTCTTTTGCAGTCCATCTCCCAAAGACAATTCACTAGGTTTTTTAAAATCCCCTAGTCTATGCAAAACATCTGTAGGGCTGAAAATATGAAACAGGAACTGAGAAAGGCAGCAGCTTGTCTGCAGGTGGTCCCTATCTGGTTTGTAAGGTTTTGTGCTAATAATGTAATAGATGTTTGCCTTCTATTGGAGGTGATTTCTTCCTTCAAAAGACCACATTTTTTAACTGAGAAAAGTTCTTTGGTTTTATACGGCCCAACAACTACTCTTTGGCCCCTCCAGCTTCGCTGACTTTTTGTTCCAGACATCCAACAGGGAGAGCTGTTGTACAGCAGCTACTATCTCTAACAGCAGCTTAAACCTCCACCTTCTCACCCCTTCCAACTTTGGCAGTAGTGTCCTACGTGTTATACATTACCAATGTAAAAACCAAAAGTGCAATGACCTTAAGGTCTGTGTAAAATACACTGAACCTGACATAAAAATAAACAACAGAAAAAAGAAGTCAGAAATTATTCATGTTTATACTGGAGTAAATAAAACCTTCCATTTTTAATTCAACTAAATCTGCTGCAGAATTTTCCACTTCATCACCCCGGAATGTCACAGAAAGCAAAGGGCCCTGCAGTACAATTAAAGTTCAATTTGTCACAGAGAGCAAGACCACAGTTGCCTTTACATTACACAAGTAGAAAAGCTGTGAAACTCTCCAGCTCCACCAAAACCAGGACCTTCCACATCACTCGCACAATGTTTACACTGAGAAGTCTTCAGCGAAGGAAACAAGAAAGATAAGGAGGAACAGAAATGAAAGTAATTTACCTGATATCCAGTAAACTTTACTCCAGGGTTGTTTTCTATTTCCCACAGGCCTTCATTGAATCCTTTTCGCTTGTTCGACTTCCCAAACTTATCTTTATATTCTTTATATGGAAAAAGGTCTTTGGGCCCCAGGAACGCACTGCATTTTAACAAAGGTAACATTCAAAAAAGGACTTATATTCCTCCTCTTCAAAAAAAAAAAAAAAAGAAAAAATTAACAGCGCAAGTGTTTTTCCTGCTCTTCTGCTCATTCCATTGTTTCTTTTTCAGGTTTATTTGTTTGTTTGTTTATTTAACACACTGGCTCTGAGTTACTGCTGTGAGTCTTATCTGATGGACTGGCTCTCCATCCCGATGTCTGATGTTGCAAAATCATGCTGGGTCTCTCTAGAAACAACTAAAACTAGTCTCATTTATTATACTAACTACTGCTGGGAACTGGCACTTGAACAGTTTATGAAAGGGATTATATGACCTAATTGCCTGCGATAGCAAGGGAACAAACTTCCAATCCTACGTGTTACAAATCCAGAAAGGCCTCAGAATAGCATATGAAAAATCAAAGCATGTAAGGAGGGCCCAGAACCCATGAGCCAAAACCTATCCCTTGTACTACAGGGCAGAAGAAGCAGTGGCATTTATTATTATCTATACTGCCAGTAACCGTGGGAGCTTCCTTCTTGGAATAAGCCCCTCACATGCTAGATTCTGTGCAAACACAATAAAATGCCCTCTTTCCCAAAAATCCTATAATTTTATATAAGACAAGAAACAATGGGCAAATATAGGCAAATGAGTAATACAAGGAAACAATGAGACACACAGGGTGCTTGTAGCCAAATTTTTTTTTTTTTTTACACAGCACAGGAGGGATTTTGTGCTCTGCTGCAGTCTAAGTCAGCTATGCACTGGGCCAACTAATTTCAGGCACAGGCACCACAATGTAGGGAAAAATTAAAAAAAAAAAAAAAAGTACTTGTTCTGCATAATTTACAGTAAAACTAACTTCTTATATAAAACTGAAGAAAGTATAATCTCCTTTTTACTGGGTGTCTATAGCCTGTGTGTTTACTCTGCTCTGTATCATGGCACTGGGGTGGCTAACTGTTAAGTTAAATTGAAAACAGTGAAGGCAAAGAAAACCCCCACTTCATTGCCACATGGAAGAGGCTGTGTCACCAGTGACCGGAGCTGAGCAAGTCACAGTGTCCTTCACTGTCATCACTGTCCTGCTTCCCTGATGATTGTGCAAGTAACATTAACTCTATGATCTCCATTACCACAGGACTATGGAGCTCCACCATTTGTATTACAGTTTTTCTCCTAACACCACCTGGAGATGGGGAAGTTGCCTTTTTTTGTAGATGGGCTTCTGAGGCACAGACATTTGTCCAAGGTCAAATTCAAACTGACAGCAGAGTACAGAGGAAAACCCAACTCTCTTCAGTTTCAGTCTAACATCTTAATCACCTTAATGATTCCTTGCTGTAAACATTATTTCAGATTAATGCCTGACTTATGCTCTGATTTTTCCCAGCACTTATAAATGTGCAAAGTCTCATTCACTCAAATCATCCCACTAGACAACAAGTTTGCCAGTACAAAGCCAACTGATGGCTAAAGGCATCAGAAAACAAGTCTCTGGGGAAAGAGCTTCCTTTTAACTACATGGGAGACAGAATGGTATCCAAACTCAGCTGACTCATGGAGAAATATCTCAGTGATAGAATTACGAAGCCAAGAATGCATTTACACCTGAAAGCCCAACAGTGATTTCCAGCCTACAAGATGTCTTGTTAATACTAAAGGCTACAACAGAGCAAGGGACCTGAATAAATAATTTTTATCAATGCTTTTGCTAATACTAGATGTCTACCTGTTGCCCAAAACACACACAAACAGCTCAAACACTAACAAAGGAAAACTGTATAGAACTTACCACGAGCTACTTTAATTTAGCTCAACAGTAATGTATGGAAATGTTTCTACAATTTTTTTTGTGTAGAAAACACTGCAAAATTGTCTACATCTTTGTCTGAAAGACCTTCATTGCCACTGGGAGAGGATGACAGTTCCCACTGCTCTGTTACAAAACTAAGGAGCTGCAATCTACAGCTCATTTTTAACAGTCATGCTTTTTAAATTATTAAGGAAACTGTTTTCCTGATTCAGATGTTACAGTCAGATCATGGGCTAATAAAAAGAGATCAGCAGTTTGGGATTCATTCATTTCAGAATAAAAGTGGTCAGAGTTTTTTCTCAAAAAGTTTCTCAAGAAAAATGTTTCCTTTAAAAAATAAATTACATTTTGGTTTCTGATTTTAAAGAATCCTATGTCCATTTGCACTTTATTCTTTTTAGATTATTTTGTGGAAGTTGTACTAGATCACAATATATCAAAAAATCAGGTTGTTTCATTACAGCAAGAGGAAGAAATATTTTAACTAAAATATTTATTAATTTATTAAGCAGAAACTGCCTTTAAAGATTCTTAAAATAAAATGGGACATATGAGCTATGGGGCTTATGTTTTGGAATAATGTTAAAATTAAAAAATAAATAATATATTTTTAATAAAGCTTCAAAACTCCAAAATTGAATTTTAAAGTTCATCAGAATTTCATTTTTTGTTTTCCAATTTTTAAGGAATTCTAGAAAACATTCCCTGCAAGTGGGCAAAGAAAGGATTTAAAATGTAAACACCATGCAAAATGGAAACTGTGATTTATTTTTTTTTTAACTACCTCAGGCAGTTTAAAACAGAGACATTGTAATTTTGGAACTCTGTACTTCATAGCAATTACTACAAGACCTAACTTACTCTTTCTGTTCTGATTCCTTTCTTTCCTATGAGCTCATCCAGCTCAGTTCCTCTATCACTTCTGAGAGCTCCACCCTGCAATATCCCAGCACAAATCTCACAGGAATGTCTCTATTTTAAAGCTATGTGACAACTTCTTCCTTTCATTTCACAAACCACCACACGAGTTCTCACACAGGACACGAACCCAAATGCAGCTGAATACAGCAGCCCGACCTCTGCTATCATGTATATCCAAGCAAAAAAATTTTGCCCTCACTTCTGAACTCAGATGACCCTTTAATAAATTTATGCCAACACTTTTCTTTACAGAAAGCACAGGCACTGGTTATTATTTATGCTTAGACCCTGGTATACCGTCCATGCAGAAGTGTTCCCACCTATTTTCAGGTTTCACTTCTATGTGTTAATACAAATTGGGCTCGCAGGACCCATCTCTAGGCTCTCAATGGCTTCAGTCAGGATTTGTTCAATAAAATCAGTGGACATGATGTTAGCTGCAGTGGAGGAAGACATTTTCAAAGGAAAAGATCATGTTCAGTCACTTACGTTTCATGAGTCCCAAAAAAGAAGATGGGGTATTTATTTGCTGGAGGCTTCACAGCTCCTTCAGGGAGTTCATCAATCTGTGAGACAGAAATGGAAAAAGGATTATTCCCAAACGTTCCTCGCCCAAGAATCCCTACCAAGCCATGGAAGAGCTAGTGAGGGTATTCTGCAGCCCTGGGAGGTCCCACCATGTGCTGGGGTGGGGAAGGGAGGACAACTGCTGATTTTTCAGGCAGGGGGGTCATACAAAGTCAGTGTATGACATGAGCACTGAAGGGAGATGACAGAAGACCAAGGAGCACACAAAAAGTTTTAACGATTTCATGGGCATTATAATAGACAAAGGCAATAAAATCAAGTCTGCTTAATTTAAGTGTTAACTTCAGATGCTGCCTCATCAAAGGCACTGAAGCCCAGAGGGTTACCCTGTCTGTCTCACACAGCCACCTAAATAACTTCTGCAACAAATGGGGAACAGATGGTGTTTCTGAGACCCTGCAGCCGGAAGGCCGGACACTCTCCCACCTGGGGCTGACGGTGGCATGCACTGCAAAACACAGGAGGCACAGCAGGGGGAAGGGCCTGGGACTCTCCCTCCCCTGCAGCACCCTAACAGCGGGGTTTGGTCACCACTCCCCTCTGTCCTCCAGCTCTCACATTTTATCCCTGGCTTTGTACACACAGCTGCAGAGCAGCTAAGGGAAGGATGCTGAGAGCGCTCTGCTGAGATACAGCCTGCACTGGGACACAGCCCCCATGCTGAGCAGTGCCTAGGCTCCATTTTCTGATGTCTGAGTGAGAGTGTTGGCCACAAGGCAGCAGGTTAGGCCCATGACTTGAGTCTTGTCCACATCTAACTTTTCAGTCTTCTGCAATAGAAATAAGAGAGTCCAGGTCCCTACCCACACAAAACAGAAACACAGCACAGCTTTAAGCAAGATCTAAGTGACTGCCTTCCTAGAAATGGCAGTTCTGAGCATATGTGGGTATCTGGAATTAAGAGTCCAGAGAACTCTGCCTAAGGAGGAGTCTAATGAGTCTAGGTATCTATAGAGCAACACTAGAGAGCACGTAGAACGGCTTGCTGCCTGGGTCTTAGGCCACTTAATCTCAACATAAGCATATTGAGTCCCACCAAACATCACTGGAACTGAAAGCACAGTGATGACGTACCGAGGCTATATGAAATCTGCTCCTCAGCAGAGCATGGGGATGGAACCTGCATGTTTTCACTCGGGAGGCCAGGCCCACATGTGCTTTCCTTCTCTTTTCCTGCTGGAGGATCA